GTTTCCTCTCCACCTATCCTCTCCTCTATCCATCTTCTATCCGCCTCCCACTCTCTCCCTATTTATTTCAGAACCCCCTTCCCCTCCCCCTTTTCTGATGAAGGGTCGAGGCCCGAAACGTCAGCCTCTCTGCTCCTATGATGCTGCTTGGCCTGCTGTGTTCATCCAGCCCTGCACCTTGTTGTCTCGAAAGTATTTATGTATTGGATTTTCAAAATTATAACATTGTATGGGATCATGCTCATAAGTACGAGTGTTCATTAATTGGACATTCATGAATTAGGGACCCCATGTACTTTCCATTGATAAACATAAAGAAGTAAACACTTTTTTTTTCATTTGAATGACTCTAGAATCTTCACAAGTATTGAAGTGTCAGCCTCCAATTATTTGCTTGCGTAAATGCGAGCGATTGTTTGTAGTAGTATCAGATTCCACAGATCTTCACCCACTGCTCGATTGGTTAAGTCTAGCTATGGACTCGAGTGTAAACACTGCAGAAAGAGCTAGAATCATGGAATAGACATTTTTATTGCACTGAATAAAACTGGCTACACACAAATGTTGTTTGCTGTTATCGCTGCATAGATCTGCATAGTGAGCAGCATCAATCCAACAGCACCAGGGACCTGGGGCAACGGTCTGGGCACGTTTTCCCTATGTCTGTGTGGGTTTCAGTGGGATGTTATGGTTTCCTAACAGAGTAAAAATGATGTGCAAGTTAGGTGGATTGACCATGCTAAATTATCCATAGTGTTCAGGGATGTGTAGGTTAGGTGTGTCGGTTGTGACAGGGTTGACAAAAAAAAATCTGCACAGTGTTGTTATTGTAAGTGGGTGTGAACAGACCCACCTGTCCACTCATTTTCCATTGTATACCAATGGTTTCTAGCTTTAAACCTTTGAGTACAGTCGGTTATAGAAAATCACACTATAGAAATAATGGGCCCCAAAGGGAAAAGTGGGGTTGGGGCAGACTACCAAAAAAAATCCATCAAAATTGCTCAAAAATCATTGATAAGCCTAACACAAAGGATAGCACAATTTGAATAAATGTTTAATGCATATCCAATAATGAAATAAAAGTAAATTTAACACTTTACGTTAAAAAATGTCAAGATGACTTGATGGGGGAGGAGGTTGTATTGTACCTCTCACAGAAAGCACTTCACTACACAGCCCACAAAATGATCACGGGATGCCAGCGCAGAGACTCTTTTGGTGCTAACATATACATTCATGACAAAGCCCATGAAACGATCATGTAATGTCAACATGTACTTAGCACACTAATGGAATCGTGTTATAGCCAACGCAAGTTCGCATTTTAGAAATGAAGTTCCTCTATTCGTCAATTGTGTTTCGCCAATGTGAATTGGCTGTAACATGCGTTATAGCAGAACCGACTAATAGCAGTTGATTGTGACAGAAACTAGCTCCTGACGCCAAAACCTTTCCTCCAAGAAACCCAGCGAAACAGTCAGTCTGAGGAAACATCAACAATAAATTTGGCAAAAAGTAGATTTGTATCCAAAAAAAAGTCTAATGATGGAATTTGAATTCAATTTTTAAAAATCTGTAATTAAGAGTCAAATGTTGATTTATGAATATGTTATCAATTGTTGGGGGCGTGGGGGGAACCCATGTCCATGTGACTCCTGATCCACAGCAATGTGGTTGACTCTTAACTGCCCACTGGACATTTAGGGATGTGCAATAAATGCTGGTCTAGCCAGTGACGTCCTCGTCCCATGAACAATTTTTTTTTTGTGAAGTAACGTTTCCTCGTTTTCATTTATAGGTGTCCAGAGGGAAGAAGATTGAAACAAAAAAAAATATTCAAAATAAGCCACTGCAAAACAGAACCATATCCCAATTCTCTACTCAATCTGAATCCACATTGTTGAAAATGGAAAGCCCATTTGTGAATAATAATTCAGCCACTAGGGAAACAGCAATGCCTACACAGCAAATCACTCCACCTGAGAAACAGCTATTAGCTGCCCAAGAGAACAATTTGAAAGTAGAACAAACATTGAAAGGAAATGCCAATGTAGCTGTTAACAAAAGCATATCTGCCCAACAAAGCACAGAATCAAAGATGCTACCTTTTGGCCAAAAGTACAATTCTGATGTAGATCAAAAATCAAAAAGTCAACCAAAAGCCCAGAAGGTCACACTCAGCCAGTCCTTTCTTGCAGTCAAAAATGAGCGGGCCAAATTAATGATCGCTGAAAAGAACAATCAATCGAAGCTGCCTAATACTACTTTTAGCAAGCCAGTATTAGGCTCATTTCGTGGTAAGATTGTAGAATCTAAAATCCAGTCCTTTAGATTAGGTTCTCAGCAAAAGGAGAGGAAACAGGAGAAAACTGATCTAGTAACACATGCCTCTGCAGAAATGCACAATAAAGAACCCAGAGGCATAATGCACAAGCCTAGACCGAAGGGAGTGGAAAACATGCATCCTCTTAGGAGGACAATGAATGTCACGTCCCAGAGTAAACAAAAGAGTTTGACTGCAGCAACTGGCCTCCACACTACAAGCAGCCAGAAACCACTTGTAACTGATGTGCTAAATATAAAAATAGATTTTACACAATCAGGCCATGGTGACACTGCAATAGTAGCAACTCAGACAATCAGTACAAAAAAAACTACTGTGCCATTCCAAAACACCTCCAACAGTGTATCTGCAAGACATCCATCATGGAATTTTTCAAAAGTCGTTGGTAACCTAAAACCTCTAAAACAGAAAGTGCCTGTTGAAGTGAAGAGGTAACTTTTTTAAAAATTCTGAAATAGTGGTGTAGCAGCTGATAATTATATTAATTTTCAATAATTGCTGCTCTGAAATATTGAAACCAGAAGTGGTGTAAATTTTGTTTCTGTTCAGACAGTTCTCAAAAACTGAACTAACTACAGTCCTGTATTATAATCTCAAATCTATTGCATTTTTTTCCAATATAAAAAGTGTATTCAGTGTTTAACTTGGATTAGGAACTGCTTTGTGAATATGTTCATCATTCTTCCCATCTCTTAGGACTTTTCTTTAATCAAAGGAAACTGTAATGACTGTACACTTGTCATAGGGAGAGTTTTTTTTTGGACTTTAGCATAAAAATTGAAATATTTTACACACTGCAAACATATTGTTTATGCAGAATAGAAGCTTTAACACAATATCTGGATTAAAATTTGCAGTTCCAAAGATTTCTGATGGTTTCAGTTACATAAATTGGTTTAACTACTTTTGTCCTAAAGTGGAACACAGCTAACACAATCAATGGCATCAAAAGGGAAATTAGTAAAAAGACCAACAACGACATCATTGCAAAGAAAGAAAGTTGTGGAAGAACCAGTGGAATCGCGTTGGACAACAATTGTTGAGGAGGAGAATCAGAGCGAACTTGTGGAAAAAATTAACAAGACTCTTTCTGAATATCTGAAGCAGATTAATGAGGTAAAATTGTATTTTGATTTAGAACCTTTGATAAGAAAAACAAACAAAAAAAAAGGTGATTTAAGGATAGAAAAAGCATTTTGGAAGACTTGAGAGATTAGAGGAAAGTACTGAGGTAGTAGAATTAAGACATCATATAGTACAATCTGTCATTAAAGTCATCAAAGGGTATCAACAGGCCAGAAAAGAATTATCTTCTTGATTTATCATTAATATTCAACCAAAGAAATATTTCTGGAATACACTTTGTGATAGCCAGTTAGGACCTATTGCATTCCAGTGCACAACTGAAAGTCGTTCCCCTCCCAACCTGTTGCCACATTGTCACTTCTGACGAATTATGAATCACTTTTGATACATGATTCTGGCTCTTAGACTGATATCATATTAATGGCAATCGGCTACTTTAAGGAGTTGAGTTATTTTAAATGTCTTTGATCCTGAAATTGCAAACACTAGCTCTTGTCAACAGTATGCTTCAATAAGGTGTTGCTCAGCTCCCTTGTAACAGTATTTTACAAGTATGTTCCTGTAAATGGAAAAGACTTTAGATTTCACATGTATTTCTTTGTACTTACCAAAGGATAAAGGTTTTCATTTCTCCGACTGCAAACTTTTTACCTTTTTCAAGTAGTTGGATGGTCGAAGGAATCTTGATAATTTGGACCTTTTGTTTATAGTTCTAATTAAATTCCTGAAGTTTAATTTGCATGAGAAATTGTAATATAAGTTGTGTTTTTTCACTCTCTGGACCAGCCAATCCAAAAATTAGAGCACAGAAGTGGATCTTTCATATCTGAATTCTTATTTCTTTAGGGTTGTCCAAGTGAAGATTGTTTGCAATCTCTTCAAACTTTCATTGAGAGTGTTCCAAAAGCCAAGAAGTTTGCAAGATACTGGATCTGTCTTGCACAGCTTGAACAACGCAAAGGATCTGTCCACGATGTCATGACTATTTATGAACAAGCCATCAAGATAGGGGCACAGGTACTGCTAACTTTGACAATCTCTTACTTTATTTCTCTGTATTTTTAAAAGTTAGGATTGTCCTGTCTCACTGCAGTAGTGCATTGGAAATCAAGCCTTGCTATTACTGGAGTTATCGCAATAATTAAAGATTTTGTCTTTCTATACGCAGGTTAATAGAAAGCACAAAACAGGTTTCTGTACTTAATAAGAATGTCAGTTTGTTACAAATAAATAAATTCCAGCTACAGGGAAAATATTAAGAACCATCAACATTTAACTCTCTAAGCCCCTTAAGATTACCTCTACACACAAATGTAGAATGCAGTGAAATCGTCCCCGTTCAAATGTTTCACTGAGATGATTCTTTTTGACTTTGACAGGACTTGCTTCCCCTTGATCCCACCCCCTCTCCCTCTTTCTGTCTTCTCCACATTCTTTCATTTTCCCATTTCAGTTCACAATCAAACATACAAAAAACTGGTCTTTACAAGATATTAATGAAACATTTTTCACTTATACACGCTACAAGTCTTGGTTGGCATATTAGGTTTATTCCTGAAGTGACAAAGACCCAAATGCTGGTACATCTGTGCTTTCAATGGGAAAAATTTTGTTTGTCCAAGATTTTTTATTTCTATTTTCTACAATATTTATCTGTGTTCATCCATATTGTAATCTCTGCTCTGTATTCCTGTATCAAATTCTTCAGGTGTGCAGCAGCAAAATGAAACTCATTTTTATTTGGTACTGGCATGATTGCATTTGCTTATGTCTTTTAAAAATTAGATAATGTCAATCATCTGGTCAGTTTGACGGAATAGATTCTTGCCAGAATTGCAGATGACTCGAGCTGAATCTCTGTCTGTCTCAGAGAGCACATTTAGGTGTAGGACTGGCGTAGAAAAAAAATTTCTTTGGAAATTTTTAAAGTCAATATGCCACAGCAACCATTAAAGGTTCTAAAATTAACTGTTCGAGTAAGTTAGCTTACATTGTGAGAGTGCAATTATAGTTGTCTCCTTGATTTAGGTCAGCAAATAATACAGTCTGGTTTCAACAATTTAGCATTTTATTGAATTAAAGCTGGAAATTGTACCCAGCGTACTCAAATTGTGACCTCTGTTTGTTTATTAATTGATTGAAAGTTTACTTCCATGCAATGATTTAATAGACTAGCTATTAAAATACTTAGTTTTATTTACATAAGTAAATTCAATTTTCCAAGTAAAAAGTTTTTTCAACGATTAGAAATGCATGGGCAAAGCATGAGAAACTGTGGTATTCATACTTTTTCAACGTGATTAATAACAAAAGTTTATCCCAAGCAAAATTACTTTATACATCTCACACTATTTTAAAATTAATTTAAATTTTTAAATTGAATAGCAGTGATGCATTTTTATGCAATTCACACCAAACTCCATTCCTCCTCTTTCTTTCTCTATCCTTTCTTTTCTTTTCCCCTAGATAAACCCATATTTTCACCGATTTAACACATAGATTTATATCTAAAATCTGGCCCAAGATGTTGGCATTAGTAGCAAATTAGCATTAGTAGCAAGATTGATTGGTCTGAATGCTGAAGAAAGTGCTGAGGCAAGAAAGCTGATCTAATTTATGATTTGAGTTGCTGCAAGTGTTTTATTGTCTACATAATAGCTAGTTATAAGTTTTGCAAATGTTTTTTAAATGATTGGGTGTTTCTATTGATCTCCTTGCATCATCTGCAGCAGATTGTCATAGATTGATGTGACATTTGCACAATGGAGGCTTGGTTGATAATTGTAATTAATTGTGGTGCACTTTTTTGCAAATGTTAAAAGTTTTATTTTGTTTTACAGCCTGCAAATGAATTACGCAATACACTTGTAGATATTTTGAAAAACACCAAGACTCCCAAAAAAACTCATGTGGGTGAGTTGATGCCTTCTTTATATATATGTTCTGGAATATGAGTGCTCCTAGAGAGGGGGCATTCTGTACTGCTGAGCCAATTGTGCACCTTTCCTGAATCATGTATGGGGGTGATGTTCCGATATTTGACTGAACTAATCTAGAGTCTCAACCTAATGCTCTGGGAATACTAGTTTGAATTCTACTGATAGATGGTTAAGTTTGAATGCCATAAAAATCTGGAATTAAAAGCTAGTCTAATGGTGACCATGTAAATGATGCTAATTGTCAAAAGTATCTGGTTCACTAATGCCTGTTGGGGAAGAAAATCTGCTCTACATGTGATTAATAGACCCACAGCAATGTGACTCTTAACTGCTATCTGAAATGCTCCAGCAGTTCAAGGATAATTGAGGATGGGCAGATAATGCTCACCAAACCAGTGATGCCCACATCCCAGGAATGAATAAAATGTATACTTGACATCTGAAATACTGAATATATTCAGTAGTTGGAGACTTTTGATGGATGTAGGTCTTTTGACCTGAATTTATTTGTCAGCTGTGACTCAACTGGATAGTGCACTCACCTCTGCATCAGAGGTTTGTGGATTAAAATCCTACTCCATAAATTCGCAAAAGTACTGAATGAATGCTGCACTCCCCATTTATCTTCTCTGAGAAATTTCAGCGCACTCTTTCACAGAAGAACAGAAAAATTATCGTCAGTGTGATGGCTGATATTTATCCCTCAAGCAACACCACAAAACATTATCTGTTCATTAACATCTTGCTGTTTTTGTGACATTTATGTGTACAAATTGCTGCCATGTTTTCTATGCTTCAGAAGTACTTGATTGGCTGTGAAGTGCCTTAAAATGTGCCATTCATAATCTCACGATTATTTAAACAGGCATCTTTTTCCCCTTACTGCTAATGAGAATAGCTATTTTCTGGCCTCTAATTTTCAGGAATGCACAATTAGACATATTTGTTTACAGCCATCACATAAGTAATAATCAGCAATTGATGATTTGATACAAGTTATTGCAGTATTCTGCACAGAAGTGTGTGTCACTCTGTTTCAAATCAGTCATCTATATTGTTGCACCTTATTTCCTTTACACTGGTTATTCTGAGAGCACTGCTGCACTGAAGGGACCAGGAGCATAGATCATAGAATCACAGCTTGGAAAAAGGCCCTTCGGCCCAACAAATCCACACAGACCCTCAGAGCATCATACCCAGACCTATCCCCCTATAACCCACCTAATTTACACAGCCCTGAACACTAAGGGCAATTTAGCATGGCCAATTCACTTCACTTGTACATCTTTGGACTGAGGGAGGAAACCCACGCAGACACGGGGAGAATGTGCAAACTCCACACAGACAGTCTCCCAAAGGTGGAATCGAACCCGGGTCCCTGGTGCTGTGAGGTAGCAGTGCTAGCCACTGATCTTTGAGGATGCCAGGGAGTTGAGTGCAATTAGAAAGCGTATGGAATCTTGGGCTTCAGAAGTATGTATTGATCACAAAAGTAAAGGTTATGCTGAACCCTTATAAAGCTGTGATTGGGTACGTTTGGTCACCTGACTTTTTTTATTAAGATAGATATGAGGGATCTTGAGAAGCTGTAGGGATTTCATAGAATCCCTACTGTGTGGAAGCAGGCCATTCAGCCCATCACATTTACATGCCCCGCCATAGAGCATCTTATCCACACCCCTGCCCTATCCCTGTAACCCTGCATTTTTCCATGGCTAATCCCTGGACATAGTGGGCAATTTAAGCATGGCCAATCCACTTAGCCTGCACAAGGAAACCGGAGCACTCGGAGGAAACCCACGCAGACATGGGGAGAAT